CCCCCCAAATAAAAGCATGATTACGAAGGAGTATAGTTCCATTAAACCAGAGCACAGGATAGCTCTGTGGGGGGAAAGTCATAGAAAATAAGTTTGCAAAGGCAGGCTGGTTACGAGATGTCTTTAATTTTTAATTTTCCTTCATAAAAACCTGGAAGCTTCTTAGACTAAAAGTCAAGCTTTCTAAGAGTACTAATAACTACTTAAATTGTATTTCATTAACTATGATTTTCAACTTTACACAATGGAATCAACCACCTGTGTTTTTTGTTTGGTGGTGGAGGAATTTAAAAAATAGTGATGCCTGAGCCTCATCCCAGAGATAGTGATTTAATTGTTCTGGGTGTAGCCTGGACAGCAAAATTTTGAAAAGCTCCCCAAGTGATTCTTACGTGCAGACAAGGCTGAAATACACTGCTTTAGAGAATTTACTACTTTTGAACTCAAGATTCGTCTGTTCAGAAAAGAATTTGAAGCTAACTCTTAAATAAAAAGGAAGTTAGAACTTGCGTAGAAAGAAAAACCCTTTTAAGGAAGGGGAGGGTAAAAATGTCTCATTTGTCCTGATACTCTGATCTGGTTTTATAACTTTCTGATGGGCCTATTCCCTTCTCCCTCCAACCACTGTCCTCCCTTCTGGCCAGATTTACAATCTAAGCCTGAAAGAGATGGAATTCTTTAAGGACTTGGTTGGCACTCACTGGCAAGAAAGAAAAAACATACTGGAAGAGAAATAGCAGTTTTATCAAATATGCTAAATTCAATAAAAGGCCTTGAGAAAAGGTCCTCACTGCGGTGTTCAGGCCAAAAGAAATAAAGCCCAATTATAGCCCTTATTTTCTTAGCTATCATTCTTATTATCTTTGAGTATTATATGAACATTATCTTAGCCAGAAAGGATCCGAATGTACTCTCCCCGCCCCATGCAGCTCATCAATTTAAAACCAAGGAAGAAACTAAAAAGAAATCCTGATATTCATTTTCTGTATGTTCAGTATAGTAGATGCAGCTCAGCCAGAATCAAGAACTCTGATCTTACAAGACATAATCCAAGGGCTATTAGAGACACAAAGCCAGAAATATAAAGGTTCACCTAACTATGCTATATATCCAGAGAGCAAAGGGAAAGGAAAACCTCAATACGTCTTCTTTTTTGTAAAAATATATCTTTATTGATTTCACAGAGAGGAAAGGAGAGGGAGAGAGAGAGAGAGAGAGAGAAACATCATTGATGAGAGAGTCATTGATCCGCTGCAGCCCACAACTTGGGCATGTGCCCTGACCGGGAATCGAACCCTGATCGCCTGGATCCTAGGTCAATGCTCAACCGCTGAGCCACGCCCGGCCGGGCCCTCAATACGTTTTCTAACTAGCAAAACTAAAGCTTTTCCAGCACTGTTCTTCTTGACTGAAAAAGATTCTAAGGAAGGTTATTATCCTCCTCTCTGAAAATATGACAAAAGTGATAGCACAGTGATGGCATGAGTGACTAATAGGGAAATGTCAGCAATGATGGGAGCCAATTTCCCAGTGAGTGGCTTCTCCTATCTACTGTGACAAGCAGAATGATGCAGATATTAATCAAGAAACAAAAAGAAAACTAAAACACTGAACAAAACCCAGGAGAGTTGTCACATGGCCTGAACTAGCTATTAACTATTTCAATCAGTTGCTGGTATTATCTGGAGGCAGGAGACAAAATTAGTCACACTAGGACTTGTAAAAATTCAGTGATATGTTATCCAGTGATCCAGGAATGAAAAGGGATGGGTGTGTAGGGCATGGCTTTAATCTCATCTTAAGCGTCCAGATACTGTGCTTGAAGTGTCTCTCGAAGCTGTCCACCTCCTACTGCCCCTGGACTGCATGCCTTACTCACACTGACATTTTCTCTGCAAAGGGGGTAATGCCAACTATGGGCCAAGTAAATCAGGACACAGGAAGAGGAAGGAAGGCAGGGTGCCAATTTCAGGGAAAGAGTATTTCAAATGCTGAAAACTGGAAAATTTCCTAAAGATTCACAGCTGAAAACCAAGTGCAAATTTTCTGCTAGAGGTATAGGTCTCTCAGTCCCCAATCTAAAGCACAGCATTTGCAGTCATTAAATGCCCTGAGAATAGTACTAACATTTGGCCAAAGTTTCACAGTGGCCACTTTACCATGCCGGAAGTAGTGCTGAACAGGGCTTGTGTCCTTGCAATGGAGGGGAAGCAGTGATTTTATGATGACTCATTATAGCTTATGAGCTAAAGGGATTTCGGCCTGATTACCTGAGCGCTGCAGCACAGCCAGGCTGAGCCAAAAGTTTGAGAGCTGAGTTTGCATACAGCTCTTGTTAACTAGATCAAAAGGAAAACCCCTCAATCCAATGGCAATGTTACAATAGCAGAACTGCACAGAGAGAACAAGACTAAAGTTCTATAAGGGAATGAGTCTACCTGACTCCAAGAAAAGAAAAAAAAAAATCTTTTATAAAAGTTTATCAACTGAGCACTGGCTGGTGTGACTCAGTTGGCTGGAGTGTCGTCCCATACACCAAAAAGTGGCAGGTTCAATTCCTGGTTGGGGCCCGTATGGGAGGCAACCAATCCATATTTCTCTCACATCAATGTTTCTCTCTCTCCCGATTCCTCTCTCTGAAAATCAATGAGGAAAAAAAATCCTCGGGCAAGGATTAAAAAAAAGTTTATCAACTGAGATGGCCACTGAGCAGACACACACACGCACACTCCCAG